ATATATATATATATGATTGAAAATTTTACCTCATGTCCCAATCCGTATTCCAGATTGTATTTCAACATCGGTAGATCATCAAGTAGTCGTAATGTTGCTCTAGTTGACGACATATGAGAACTAAAGAATAAAAATTTTTTGGCAACCTCCTCATTTTTATGTAGACCTCCGATCAACTTTGTTGTGTAACATAGTGTTCTTAAAATCTAAAAAATTAATATTATATATCTGTTACCTGCAAAAACTACAAACTCCATTACTTTATCCCTGCCTTTATAAGTTTCTAACAATAAACATATCTCGTTCAATATCGTTTTCAGGAGCGACATGTCTAATCTGGACAAAAGAAGGTAACAAGTACCCAGACAATAATCCACTCATATCTGATAACGCCTAGTAAAAGTAAATGGCATTGGAAGCAAAAATTGTTATTTAAAATTCTACTTTCACATTTCTGAGGTTAAGGTTAATTAATTGCTACAATAAGGAAATCAGTAATCACAAATCACAAATGTCAACAAGCAACAAGAGAAAGAACGAAAGAACTCACATAACACTTTTGTTATGTGAAAGAACTGAAATATGTTTTGTGGAACTGAAGGAAGGGAAGAAGGAAGAAAACGGGATTATTAGTTGCTTTCGATTTGACATTCAATTCAGGAGAAAAGAACTGAAAGCGAGATAATTCGTAAATCACTCATTTTAGATAATGAAGTAGATTCGTAGATTCAAATAGAAGAGCACAATCACAATCTTCGAGCATATACTACTGGAGTTTTAACATGCCATTACGAAAAGTATGGCTGAGTGTGCGAGAGAGACAGACAGTATCTCGGGAAATGCTGTCTCACTCTAGCACGCTGCGATTGGTTGGAAATGAATGCTCCAACTAATCGTGGCGTGCTAGAGTGAGACAGCAAGTATTGAGATACTGTATGTCTCTCTCGCACACTCAGTCACACTTTTTGCAATGGCATGCTACCTCCAGTATTATCTATTATATTGTATATTTTGTGCCTCCAGTAGTATATGCTCAAAGAGCACAACTGAGTCAAATTTTTGTTATTTTTATGATGTACATTTTTATGCTCTGGAAGTGTTGTGTACTTTTCTAATTGTAACAGTTGAAGAAAAAGAGAAATATCTAGAGCATGTAGATGTTAATATCGAACTTTTATATCAGTTGGAAGTACCTCCCCTAAAATTAAGTGTTTAGCAAGTAATTTTAGGGGGGGGCTACTTCAAATATATTTTTTTTTATTTGAGCCCCTCCTGAGAAAATATTTAAATCTCAAAATATCCGAAAAGGTTAGCTTTTATTTTTTTTTTTTTTCACGAAAACAGTTAAACTTATTTGAATTTTGGTACACATTAACAACTAGTTGAATTCCCCCGACTGACAAACCCCCGGGGCACCCTCCCCGATGACATAAAAAACTTAATACGTGACAGACGACGTGCGAAACGGCTTGCCACCCGCACCCGACTCCCCCGACACAGACATGACTTAAACGTACTTAACAGACGGGTGAAGGCGGCTCTGGATGAACTGGCCCAGGATAACTGGGCTAGGCACCTGGAGTCGCTGGATCCACAAGACAACAGCCTCTGGAAAACGCAGAGGGCCCTGCGACAGACCGCTCGCCGTAAAATTCCTCCAATCCACGGTAGTGTGGGGGTGGTTTACACGAACCAGGAAAAGGCCGAGGCTTTCGCCGATAGCCTGGAACTGCAGTGTAGACTGCCTCAGCTGCCCGACGAAGACGAGGAATTCGAGATAGTGGCTGAGCGCGCGGCCCGACGCGTCGACAGAGAGCCAGACAATGACATAATCCCCCCCGCAACACCTGACGAACTAAGACTGACAATACGCAGACTTAAAAACAGAAAAGCCCCCGGACCCGACAATATACATAACACGACACTTAAACGACTACCACACAAGGGCCTCATGGCCCTACTAAACATAACAAACGCGACACTCAGACTAAGACACTTCCCTACCCGCTGGAAAACAGCAAACATAATCCTTATCCCAAAACCCAACAAAGATCACACCATCCCATCCAACTACCGGCCCATTAGCCTGCTCCCGGCTATGAGCAAAGTGGTAGAAAAAATTATCCTAACCCGTCTAAGAACCCACTCCCAAGAACTGCAAGTCATTCCAGACGAGCAGTTCGCCTTCCGACCCAATCACTCCACTGAACTCCAAATCCTTCGCCTTACCGAGCACATCACGGCGGCCTTCAACAGGGGACAGTACACTGGTGCTGTCTTCCTGGACGTCGCAAAGGCCTTCGATACGGTTTGGCATGAAGGCCTACTGATGAAAATGCTCACCAACCAATATCCCATATCCTTTACCAAACTCATAAAATCCTACCTACACCACCGAAAATTCCGCATCCAAATCCAAGATTCCCTTTCCACCACCCGTCCCATGGAGGCCGGTGTCCCCCAGGGCACCGTCCTGTCCCCACACCTATACACCATTTACAACTCCGACATCCCACATCCCCCCAACACCAACATATACTTATACGCCGACGACCTGACAATCACATCCCAATCCGTAGATCCTAGATATTCCGTCT